GATTGAACTCACAACCCTGGGTTTAGCAGGCCAATGCTCAAACCACTAAGTTATCCCTCCCCCCACTAAGCTATCCCTAAATGTGCAAGCAAAAGGTACATGAAGAGCTACCAGCGTTGGTATTGCGACTGCATATAAAACGTGCTATGGTTTGTCCCTTTAACAATCTGGGTCAGAAAATCTATAGTGAAGATTCATGGCACCCGTCATCAGACATGACTAATGTGGGTAGATGCACAGATTTGATAAGGAAAACCCAGGCACTGCTTGGAACACTTGGAAAGTGTTCTTCAACCATATTTTGAAAGCACTAGAGAACGTTCATAGATCTCAGTGCAATTATCTTTTGCTTCCAAATAAAAGCTGATGGACCTTATCCTGGGTGAGCCCCTGAGGTACCAAAGGTAGAGCTCAGAGAAGGGTGGTATCCTTTTCAGTCATTGAGGACATCTTAGAGAAGCTCCTCTGAGCGAGAGTCGAGTGGGTTGTGTCTTCACTTAGTGCGTTCACTAGTCTGGAGAGGACGGTCACCTTAAACTTTTTAAAGTCCTGGCCCATGAAGACATAAAGGATGGGATTCATGCAGCTGCTAGCCGCAGCCAGAGCCGTGGTGATGGGAATCCCAGTCTTGAATACCACATGGGAGACTTGGTCATGCTGCGTTTCCAGGATGTGCAGGACATGGTAGGGGGCCCAGCACAGGAAGAAGGTCACAATAATGGCGACAATGATCTTGAAGGGCTTTTTGGATTTGGCGAGCCGGTTTCGTTTCAGCTTGACGATGATGATCAGGTAACAGACTGTGATGATGGTGATGGGAATGACAAACCCTATCAGAAACCTGACGATGTTTACAGTCTGGTGTCTCATCATGCCCAGAGGATGGTCAGACTTATTCCCCGACAAGGCGTAGTTACTAAAACAGATCACATTGCCTTCGTGAGTTGCAGTGTCCCGGAAAACGAGAGACGGGGAACTCATTGCCACACCAAGCACCCAGTCGACGATGCAAATCAAACATGCCAGCGTAGTGGTTCGATGGTTTTGGGCCCAGACTGGGAGGACGACGGACACACAACGGTCTAAGCTGATCGTCGTCAGCAGCAGCACGCTGCTGTACAAGTTTAGGTTGAGGAGGAAAGAGTTTAACTTGCACATGGCCGCCCCAAAGACCCAGTGGTAGTTCATGGCGGTGTACGCGATATTCAGCGGCAGGAAGACGTTGAAAAGAAAGTCGGCAACAGCCAGGTTGAGAAACCAAATGGCATTGATGGACTTTTTCATCTTGAAAGTGATGATCGTGATGACTAGGCCGTTCCCCAGAATTCCCAGGAGGCAGGTGAGGCTGTAGACTACAACAGAGAGGATTCTAGCAATGTCTTTGGCATCGTGCGATGGCTCTTGCTTAACATGAACCGTGGAAAAATCATCATAAACAGTATAATCGTAGTAGTCGTCAGAGTAGTTGGAGGTCCCCATTACCTGTAAACAAATCACAACAATTTCACCAGGCGGTTCTTTTATAGACTATCCCTCTGCTTGTTTCTGTGTACAAGGCCAAATCAACAGGAGTGAAGAATTCAGGAGTTGTCCCACAGCCCTTAGTTTGTCACGTAAATGGATTGCTCCATGCTGCCTTCAATGCATGTGTCTACAGCTCTCCACAGGAGCTGCATACCTGCATGTGAGGACAGAAGCTGGCAGTTCTGTGCATGTATCTAAGAGTAGAATGTGCACTATTATGTCACAAAGTGGAGTTAAAATCATGCACGGGGCCAACATGCTGCTATTGTATACACATTTGACATGCGATTTCTATGGGAAAACCTAACTTTGGCCGCCTGCAAGCCCATCCAGGACTGGTCAGTCAAATCCTGGCTCAAAGACATGAAGGAAAGGCCGCAGGCCGTGGCGTTTAAGAGTGTCTGTATTGGTCCAAATACTAGCTTCTCCCATCGACATCGCTCCTGCCTCTCAGGGAGATGGAATACCTGTGCAGACAGAAGTTCTCGCGTCGGTAGCGTCTTCACTAAGAGCTACAGCGGCTGCACCGTGGCAGCGCCGTAAGTGTGGACAAGCCCTTAATGTGGATTTACTCTCGTAGGGCCAAGTGGAGAATTTCGCATTTGGTACCACAGGGCATGATCTAAAACTGTTTGATTTCATCAAGGTTTGGAATCAGGCCCTTGCGTTGCAAAATAGGTCTGATACGACCCACCCACCACCCAAGGGAGCGTCTGAGGCTTAATTAATTGGTGCTCTGTAAGTGCTTTGAGATCCTCCGATAAGTGCAAAATATCATTGCGCTGCTCTTTCTCCTCCTCAGCATTCGTTCAATTGCACATTTCGGGGCCACATTTTTGCTCTCGGGCAAACATGCCTCTCAACTGACTTCTGTGGGATTGCACAGGTGTAACTAAGGCTAGAATCTCACCTATTCACGCCAGTATTTTTTTCAGCTCCACTCTCAATGTCCCTGTAGCAGGGGCCTCATCCACTCGCCGAATAGCTGGAAACACCTGCAATACAGGAAAGAGACCCCCTGGGTTTATCAGCCAGACCAACACGGACAGTTCGTTCCTTTGAAAGCATTCCCTGTTCAGAGGCATGTGTAGGTGCATAGATACAATACTAAAGCAGGGATCAAACTAGGGCCGTGCACCCTTCAGAAAGGTGAGTTGGCAGGGAGCAAATCCGTGTTTGTCTTGGGTTCAGACAAAAATCACAGGGATGATTCCTAGGTGCCAAGGCCAGAAGGGCCTGTTGTGATCATCTCGTCTGACCCCCTGCCTCACAGAGGCCGGAGAACTTCCCCAAAATAATTGCTAATGCAGAGCTTTTAGATAAACAGCCACCCGTGATTTTCAAAGGGTTGTTTTGGGAAGTTAAACTCATCTGAACTTTGCATGTAGTCATTTCCTCTGGCAATTCCTGCTACTAGGGCTACAGCAGTGTTTTTAATTAATTAATTAGTGTATCTGACCTAAAGTTCCATTTGCTACCATCCCCTCCAGCTCTTGTTGCTTCCAGCCTCTTTATCAAGGATTTTCCAAACGTGATCAATCAGTGTAAGTTTAATCTTGTTTCTGAGCCCCTGGAACACCCACAGCTACAATTTCCCCCACCATGCGGCTGGTAAAGCTGTGGATCTTTTTCTGCTGGCTGGATTCTTTGTCGTCACGTGGACGCTGCTCACATCACAGTTGCCTGACTCAGATAGAAACTTCCTACATGCCGTTACTGTAAATAGAAGACCTTACTCATCAGTCCTGTCTGCTGCTGCCTAACCACCAGTACCACTTGGCTTCTCTGCTGCACACTGGCAAGGACCGAGGCAGTGACAGCGTAATTATGGGGATGTGCACACAGCCTATTGTATATTGTATCACTGACACTGCAGCTTGGGAGGGTGAATTTCTCTGGTAATCCAAGATTTATTACAAAATAACACCAGTGGGCAGAGATATCCTCGGCCAACTCTTTTAGGATTCTTGTGTGCAAGTTATCCAGGCCGGCTAATTTAAAAATGTATATCTCTAGATGATATTGTTTAACATCTTCCTTAGTTACTAATGGACTGGAAAGTTCGTTAGCCTCCTTGTGTGATAGGAGTACATCATCCATTTACTGAGTTAAAAATTCCTATCGCCGTCACAAGAAGTTTACCTGTGTACGGACTGAGTAATGAACCAAAGCACTCTGTCTAAAGACCTCTGAACTGTACAAGTTTCCACATCTGAATCTACATTCAAATGCAAATGTTGAGGCTTGGACCCATATCTCCAGCAATTGGTGATAAGTCTGGAGGTTCAGATAAGCCTTATTGTTCATCTAAACATTTCCCGAGCTGCCTACGTTTCTTTGGTCTGGCAAACTGAGCTAGATACCTCAGAATAATACTAGACAACTGTTCATTTACAGAATTCAATAAGAATTGTTCCTGTTTGAATCAATATTTGCCATTTGCCTCCATTTTGTATTAACGGTTGATTTTTATCTTCTTCTCCTAGGTAAAGAGTAGCCGGCTTTGGATCGACATAGAACAAACAGTAATAAAAGCACAAAATACAGTGCCATATCATCTGCCCCCTTTGTGCAAGAACTGACCCAGCCCTTCACCTCAAGCTTGAAATAAACGAGGGCGTTCTCCAATGTTCTTGCTTAGGGTCATTACATGCTGCCCTTGGCTCTGTAGCCACTATCTCATGTGGAAGATGCATCTCGTGTGTATGCTGGTCGCAAAGGGCCATAGGGGAAAGAAGCCTGGTTAGCTTTTGTTTTATTTTAATTATTTGTAATTGTCATTCAGCTCTGCATGCCCTGTGCCCTACGAGGACCCCGAGTTCCGAAACCCAACCGGAAAGGCTGCCCTGCTCTTATTCCAGCCCAGCTAGAAGCAGGAAGAAGCAGAAAAATGAGGCGAGAGAACAAGATTTTTAAGCCTCGCTTTGCAGATTCCCCACGCTTGATTGCTCAGAAAACATCCTGGCAGTGCTGAGAGCTGAGCTCATGCTATGCAATTCAGATCTGCTCAGGGCTAGATTCTGAAATCCCCCAGCTCTCCCAATAAAAGTCAGGGAGTGTTTAGGATCCAGGGTGATGAATTTGGCCCATCCCTGAGAATCTCAATTTATGGGAGATTTGCTGATGGAACCAAGGAGCATTTGGCAATTTGTCCATCAACTACTCATGGTCCCAGTTCAGGAAAGCCCTTAGGACTTATCTACAGGATGCGGTAATGCACCCTAGGGGGATGGGACTTGTAAAGCGCACTCAGGTGTTGCCCATGAATTGAGCCATACACACCCTGCTGGTGCACACTAAAGGTTCTCTAGTGCACTTTAAGGAAGTGTGTGTTGAGCCTTTAGTGCACACCAGCACATGGTGCACATCATGTGCAACACCATAGTGCGCGTTACAAATCCCACCCTGTAGGGTGCATTGCTGCACGGCGTAGACAAGCCCTTAAGCACCTGCTTAACTTTAAGCACGTGTTCAAGTCCCATTGACCTGAAGAGTCAGGCACATCTTTAAGTGCTTTCCTGAACTGGAATCCAGGTGACAACACTGGATTGGGCCTCATGCTGCTGCATGACACCTCAGCCGCTGCCTTGTAGTCAGTCTCACTCCAGGACAAAGTGACACGCTGCAGGGAGACAACCAAGTGACTGCAATAAGGGAGATTTTAGGACCCGGCTTGTGTATTGGCCTGAATCGAAAGGAGGCCTGGCCCTGGTGAACCCTTCATCGTCGTGAGGAGGAATTAAAGTTGATGATCCCGCGGAAGTAACAATATCAGCAGAACTGGTTGTTATACAGCTGACTATTAATGTTCCTGTTTAATGAGCCGTTCTAACTGTTCCCGTTATAGACCAGTGATTTTCATATTGTTACCTTCGAAAGGCAAAACCACAGATGGTCTCGATGGCAGGATCCGGCTTCATTTGCACTGCAGCGTTTTATGGGAGAAGGCGTCAGTAAAAGAGCAGGGAGCTGCCTTCTCTGGTTCATCCTTCCTCATACAAACATGCCCCCAAACGATCCAATCCGCCTTGACGCACCCCATGACGCCCAGCCCCGGCACTGCCTTCTCACTAAGGGAAGCGGTAGCATTTCTGACTGTTACTGCTGGAGAACTTTTTTGTAGAAGGGCGTAGAAAACAAGATAAGGGTGGGTGAACTGGCTAGGTGCCGAGGGATCCTGAGTTTCGAATCTAGGTCTGCACCCACCCAGACTGCAGACACCACCCAGCAGGGAGTGTGGGCTGATAGACCCTACCTCAACACAGGCACCATCCACGAAGCTCCTGATTGGAAGAGACCTCTGGCCTCTCTGATTGGCTCAGACTCCCTATTTAAGCCAGAAGGAGGCACAGAAAGTTGTCTGGGCAATGAGGTGAATCCCTGACTGGCTGCTCTATTAGACCCTGCCTTCCTGTCCTCTTCCTGGTTCCTGCCCTGTTCCAGATCCCTGCTGTTACACCCACTCCTGGCTACTGGCTCTGACCCTGGGCTTGACTCCTGATTCTGCCTCCGGCTCTGACCTCCAGTTCCTGGTTCCCAGCTCCTCCTCTGACCACTAGATCCAACTGCCTAAGTCCCAGACCACAACACTAGGGGGAAAGTTTGAGGCCTATGGACTCTGCTCCATTTCTAGAGCTAACCCCAATCCAAGCAGAAGGATGGTTCTGAAGTGGTCAGTTGAATTCTCCACACCAACTCCTCTGACCCGTCTCTCTCTCTCTCTCAGACACATGTTTTCATTTGTACTACTGTGATCCATCCAATCACTTAAAATATCACAGCTGCTCTTGATGTAACTCTGGCCTGACCAGTAGCAGAAAATCCCTGTTCGTGGGAGATTTCCAGCCTAATTTCACAGGCCTCAGATGGTGGATGGTTCTGATCAATATCAGAGCTTCTGGGGGCTTTTCTTTGCTGAATCTGAACCCTGAACCTTTCTGAGGTTGGCCCATCAGCTCAAACTCACCCAGTGCCCTCTGATAATGGAGAATTCATCTTGTGTGATACACACACCTGATGAACCGGAGGTTCCTACAATAACTCCTTGACAGTTGCACCTTGGTTGGAGAAATCTTTAAATATAAATGAGAGATTGCTGGTGGTTGGGGTGAGTTGAATTCTGAATAGTGCTCAGACACTGCACGGAATAGGGAGGTCTAAGTCCCTAGCGAGGAGAATGCTCACAAAGAGAAGTTTTATGATGTTACCAGAACTTTGTTCGCATGGAGCTCACACCCGTCTTTTTTATTTAAAAATTCTATGTTTTATTGTTGCTCCGAACAACTAGTTTCCACAGTGACCTTTAGCTTGACATTTCAAAGCTATTTAGTGGGTTATTTATTGGGATTCTCTGTTTATTTCGTTCTTTTTTACTTTCTTTTTACTGGACTTTAACATTTGGACAATAAAAGGAGACTGTACAAAGCAAATGACTAAAAAAACCCAAACTCTCGCTGGGTCAGACAATCAAAGCCTCCCTGGGAATGGGAGAGATTCCATGTACTCTAAGTAACACTCAGTGAGCCATCACCAGGTACGTGGCACCTGAGCCATGCATAGGGGTGACTTTCACCTGGAGTGCATTGGTACAATGTACATCGAATGAGAGAAATGTCAGGCTCAAAAGGACCTGGAGAGGTCATCAAGTCCAGCCCCCTGCACTGAGGAAAGACCAAGTAAACCTGATGGGTGTCTGTCCACCCTGTTCTTAAACACCTCCAATGACGGAGATTCCACAACCTCCCTTGGAAGCTATTCCAGAGTTTAACTCCCCTGACAGTTAGAAAGCTTTTCCTAACATCTAACCTAAATCTCCCTTGCTGCAGATTAAGCCCATCGCTTCTTGTCCTACTTCTAGTGGATGTGGAGAACAATTAATCCCCATCCCCTTATAACAGCCCTCAGCATATGTGATGACAGTTGTCAGACTGGTCTCATGAAGATAGCAATGGGTGATAATCCCTTCCATGCTACTGCAGGTGGAGGTGAGCACCTG